CAGCGTCTGGTTTATCTCACCCTGAGCCCACAGCAGAGGTTGAACCTCTGGCCATTATGACCATTACATTGAAAACCAAAAATCACTCTTTCTATGGGGGGGGTGAGAAAAAAACTAAAGATCAGCTTAACCTCGGTACACTATCAATGCAACCCTCTGGCAAGCACAGCGATAAACCTGAGGGGTTGGGAAGTTCGAGGGTAGAAGTGGTTAGAAACAGTTGGGAATGGGAGGCTGATAAGGGAACCAGCTTTGCTGCAGGGAAAAATGTTTGAATAACTACATCTCTGGGCTGACTCCTTCGGCTGAGAGCGAGAGAAAGGGAATTCTTAGGCCCTTTATGGAGCAGACACTAGGTGGTGACAAAGACTTGCACTGACAGAAGAACATTCAAAAGCATGTGGCTTTGCTGTAGGTCTTAGAAACCTGGAAACCATTTACCTCGGCTTAATTAGTAACGCATACTCATGTTTCTAAACTAGGAATAGAGTCCTGAGCTTGGCATTAAAGCACAATAATTACCACTGTAGAAAGCGTGCACGTGGAAACCATCACTTGACGGTTTTGTTAGTTTTCAAGCATGCAAAAGGCCGAGATTGCAAGAGAAGATAAGATTGTGTTAGGGTGGTGGAAAAAAAACATTAGAAATTCTTTTCCAGGGTGAATTTTACCAAGGAAAACATTATACTGAATATTTGTACACATAAATGAAAAGGAAAATCACAAAAAGTAGAATGCATTTTTTCAAAGGGAAATGGCTTAAAAGAAGAGTAGTGGATAGTACATCATAAAGAACGATCCCACAATAGTGGAGAATAGCCATATCCCCAAATAAAAACCTCTGAATTAATGTTTCTTAAAAAAAACCCCCAACTTCTTCATATTGGCAAATAACACTCACTTTGTGGCAGACAGCTTTATATACAGGTGTCCAGTTAAGTAAGTAACCTAATCTAATGTTCACATATTTGCTTCTTAGACCTGAATTTCAGTGCTGTTTCCTCCTAGATACATCCTGACCCTCTTTGTAGAGCATCAGCCCACACCCTATGCAAAGTGCTTCACTATAAAATACACAGGTGAATACTCAGAGGCTGCAATGCCCAAATATAGAATACCACAGAAATTCAAACTACAGCTCCATTCTGAACGATGTATATATTTGTTATGGCCACAGCTGAAGTTTTGGCATCAATGATGTCATGCATTTTTTTGACATTGCAATGACTCGAGATGCCAATAATGAGAGGCCAGTATCTGGCACCACAAATCCTGCCCTAGTGCACTTCTGGACTAGTGTAGGAAAATTCTTTTATCCAAGTGATTCATCCAAATGATCCACTTAAGCAAACAAGCCAAAATCATACCAAGGAGCTACAGGACTTAGCAGATGAACTACTGGCCCACTGCCCTGTGGAGTACTGGCACTTTTGCATTTCTTTCAGATCTGTCCCTGACCAATTCAACTGTACAAGCATGTTGTATGCATGGACAGGCTATTTTAGGATGCCAAAACTCATAAACTGAATGTGTCACAGTAGCTGTTACTTTTTTTTTTTTTTCTAGTTTAGAATCAGCATGAAGAGATCTTATAGAATTTCAGGGCAATAATACCTTTGTACTTAACATATACACTGTGACATATAGGTGAAAAGTTCAGAGATGCATGGTGTTAAGAATGTATACAATAGCATAAAGAAAGCTTTAAAAATTCTAATAAAATACTAATAAAATTGTGAAATACAAAATACTACAGACCTAATTTTCCTCAGCATCTCACTCAGTATATGACTGTGGTTTATTTTTATTGGAGGCATTCCAAAAAATTTGATTTCAGGTATTAAGCACAAGATCCTTAAGAGAACCCTGTTTAAAGACACTGCTGATGAGCACCTGCTTTTGGAAAAGAAAAATAAAAAATTAGACTGCTCCTTCAACGGAATTGCATGTTGTGCCACTCATCCATTTGCAAAGGGCAGGTTATGGCATCATCAAATGTTACCCTCTCAGAAACAAGACTGTGTGAAAACATTTCTTTTTCTTAAAAACATTTTGAAAATGTGAGACATGCAACAGCCTGCTGCCACTTAAAGCAAAATCAAGTTTCTTCTATTGCAAGGGCTTTGCCGGTGTCCAGCATGGCGGCGGCTCTCTGGGCCACCACGGGTGCGTGTCACCCACCTGACTGATGGTGCTCATGGCTCTCATGTAGCTCTCGTTGCGGGAGCGGAACTTGGGGGATGTCAGCAGCCCCGCGGGGTCCAGGCTGTCCAGGCTCCTGTTAATGGAGACTTCGCTCACTGCCCTCAGGTAACTGTGGCTCCGGATCTGAAGCTTTGGTGAGTGTTCACTGGATATCCTGGGAGGTTTGGGAAAAAAGAAAAAAAAAGAAAATAGGTATTTCATCAAATCTAAATGGCCTCACCAGGAATGGGGTAAAGAAAGAAAAGACCCAATAGTAAGATTGGCTCCATGATCCTAAACACATCAGTGGAGCATCAACTTCTTGAAATGCAGTTTGCAGGAACCGTAGGGGCTATATTCCTCCAAAGGGTTGTTCCTCTGCAGATATCTAGTGCTGATTAGACCTGCTGGTGCTGTGATTGTGACACCCGTGTATGTACCTGTGTAACGGGGCTGCTTCTCATAGAGCTTTCAAGGTTGCATGGGCAAATAGGGTAGGCAGATTATACACAGCATACAAATGCACTCATGGTATGTCTTAACCTGGGAAATCATTCCATGAACTTGGGGCACCTGGTAAGGTTTGATGTGCTTTAAATTTTATATTATTCCTGGCTTAACCCGGAGGTTGAGAAAACATAGGCTAGGGAAATAGCTTTACATGACTTGGTGTCAAATCAGAAGCTTAATAACCACAGTTGTATTACTGAAGTGATAACATTCACCAACTTTCCAATACCAGCAACAGGTGAGATGCACAAGTAATCAGAAACAAACACACACACCCCCCGCCCCAGTAACCTGCACAAACTGCAGCACTCCTGCCATATGTGCTTAGAGTCAACTAGCAAAGGTTGACTCAACTCAAAGGTTGACATGCAGCTACAATCCTCCACCTGTGAGACATTTTAGCCTCTGAAAATGCCACCTAAGTGCTGTCTTCACAATCTGAGGCATCCTATAAAGAAGTGAGTCACAAAAAGTGATCCATGTCACGCCTCTTACGCAATACAACTTGTTTGGGGGATATTTCTTTTTAAACAATTAATCAATGGATAAAGTATTGAAAGGGCGATCCTTCAAAATTTTTATTGGAATATCTTTAATATTCTTCAAGTATTACCAAGTACACAAATGAAAACATTAACTAAATTTTCCATTTTTAAATGTAAATCTCACGTGGATGTTTGCAGGTATATGAAAAAAAAATCTGTAACCTAATTATAGGCTTAATCTTGGTCCCCTAGTCTTTAGAAATATATACACAGTTGACCTGAATGAAGAGAATCCATTTTATGTCTAATTCCTCAAGCATTTGCAGATATTTTGTATTCAAGTAGCTAACGAAGGTAATTAGTATGAGCAATTTCCCAGTGGCATGCACAATATTGGTAATTGTCAACATATTTTAAGAGGACAATTCCATTGTGTAATCACACACCTAAGTAGTTCAGAAACTGGGTCTGTTTCTGAATGGTACAATACTGAAGTAAAATCTAGGTCATCTCTACAGCACCATGTTCTCTGGCTATTAATTGCCTGCCCAATAAAAAGACGTAAACTTATGCTAACTACTCAATATTCCTGTCACAAGATGAAGATAAAGCCTTTGCTTGCCATTTTCACTGTGCATACGGTGCAATGCTCACAGCAGCCATATTCATACGCTTTGACTCCTTACACCATTTGATTTCACATGACAAAAGTAGAAAGCTTTTTATACATCATAATTCGTGGTGTTCCAAACTCAAAAAAAAAGAAGAGAAAATTATGAAAAAGTGATTGTTTCTAGCAGTTAGCTACAGAATTTTGATAACTAACACTAACCATGGAACTCTTGGAAAAAAAATTCTTCTCTTTTACTTGATAAAAAATAAAGAAATAAAAAATTAAAAAAAGATAAGATAGTATGAATAATACAACAGAAAAAAATTCAGATGCATGCAAGCTACTTCACCACCCTGCAGATCTGGAACCTGATGAGCGTTGCCTGAAATGCATTTCTTAAATTAATTCAAAATGTATTTTATGAATATGTTGTGAACAGTTTGCTGCCAATATGTGACATGCAAAATTCAAATATGCTTGATTAGCTGCCAGTTAGTCAAATACGTCACCTGAGACTGTTGCTATTCACTGATTAGCTGAGCTCACAAGAAGACTGCAGCACATCACCAAATTCAGCGCACAGATATTGCCAGGCAGAAATTTGCAAGTGCTGAGGCAGGTGCCCTTTACAGATCAGAACCAGTATGACAAGACACAGGTACCCACAGCAGCAAGATTTTGCTGTGGCAGCCAGAGTACAGATCAGATCAGATGCTCCAAGTGCCATGGAAAGCCACCACAAAAGGTACAGAAATTAATTTTCTGAATGCATTAGTGTTGCATAACAATGTTTTCCCAACTCTGCTTGAAACAAGGACATCCATCCATGAAAGTAAATGTTTCCCTCTTGTGTCAGATGTGGGCGGTCAGCACAGCTGCCGCCTTTTTCTGACTAGTTTTGTTCCTGACTATACAACTGGCCACTTTGGCATGTATCTAGAACCATATTTTACAGGTGGCCACTCGTCTTAGCCTGCGCATACCTCCCATCTGTTGTATAAAACAGACTAGGGTATCAGCAGCTGTTGGAGGAGGTGGCTCCTTGCTTACTGATTGCTACAATCACTGTTTCACTAGATGTAGTGATGGGAAAAAAAGAAAAAGAAAAAAGATTTGAAGCATAGACGAAGAAACATCTGAAGGTTTGCATTTATAATGAGTACTACTGGTTTTATAGATGTGTAATAAATTGTCACTATATTCTACAGTACACTTTAGTGAACAGCTGAAATGCCACTGGAAATTTTGAAAACATTCCGTTTAGGAATAAATCTGGCTATGCAAGACAGGAGAAGATCTGAAGTCTAATTTATTTTCTCAGAGTTACTATTACCATTAACCTGTAAATGAAAATATTCTGTTCTTCCTTAAGGGTTCAAGACCATCTTCTATTTATCCTGAATTACCTAAACTTCTGTTTGTGCCATCATAATTTCCACAACTGAGTATGACAAACAAGGGATTGAGACTTTGGGACAGTTCTTTGGCCGATGCAAAATGGTCCATTAGCTCCACTCACTGCAGTGGATGTATTAATAGGCAGAAGAAGGATGCATGTTATTAAAGACCTTGAATGAGCTCTTCAAGCATGCCGCATCATTTCTGTGCTGCAGCGCTTGCTGGTGTGACATGGGACAAGCGCTGAAGGGTAGTCCTGAACTCACCCACAACAGCAGCATGCTGACAGTGCACAGGTGGGATGTGCTTCCCAAGAACCACAGCAAGAGACATCAGGAGAAGGTGAGGACTTTGGGTTTCTGCCACTCTGCTGGCTGTGGCTGTGGGTGTCCCAAGGGGATTGACCAGAAAAGGAGCCAGCCCTGTGCTTAGGTGTGTGGAAATGGAGTCTGCTGAGTCCTGGTGGAGAAAGAAAGGCTCCCCTGAGTAAAGGAAGGCAAGCACCTCCGATCCACTTGGTGTCTCAGGGAAGATTGAGGTACCCCGCCTGTGCGGGCAAGACACTACTGAAAGCCAGTGAGGGGCTCTGAGAGGCAAGAGAGTGTTCATCTAAGCAGAAAACGTGTTTCAGCGAAGCATGTAAAACAGAAAATTGTGTAGGTGTGTAAAGGAAGTCTTTAAGCTACCCTTTGGTTTCTGCTCTGTACCTTTCAGACACTGAGGCCGATTCTCCTGTATTCATCCAAATATAGAAATGAAAATATTTAAAAGGCACACACCTAATCACCCCTACCACTGTTGCAACGGGCATGTTAATAAATACTTTTAACCAACTCTTACAGATGCGTTTGTATTTACACAGTATTCAATCAGATGGAAACACATTTTGGTCCCTAATTTGCTTAATTGACTAAAGGATTTGGTCAGCATAGGTAAGGATGGGAGGAGCTAAGCTTAGCTGATTTGCTCTGGTTTGTACCAGGAAGTCTGAGGCTGGAAATCATCTTAATCTAGTGCCTGGCTCAGGTGATGGTCCAGGGTGAATGAAGGGGGAAGGAAAGCAATACACTATCTTTACATACTGCCTTGTCACTTCTGACTTGTATATGCTGGCTATAATTTAGTTCATTCAACTATATATTAAAGGGTTTAAAATGCTGTGTTAGCAGAGTAAAAGTGAAATAGCTTTGAATATATTCCTGGAAGAGTTCCCGTGCCTTCAAATTGACTTTCAAATACCAAAGAGAAGGTAGACAACAGGAATTTAGGAGAACAGGCAAGTTTAGTTTCAAATATTTCCTTTTTAATTTAGGAAAGCACAATGCACTCTGTCGTATCTGTGCTCTTTAGGAAAAACACTGTCATTTATTACATTTCATTTCTGAATGAAAGAAGGGAGAGACAAGACTGGCGATGGCTGCTTTCTTTCCCCTTCAGGTCAGACACAATATAAAAAAACGTTACAATGAAAAATAGTCCTAAGACTGTATTGTCTTCTGCAAGTTCAGCATCCAGACTTATAGCACAAAGCGCAGCGTTGTGCCAGATGGGTACTGTGCTGTGCCAACAGAAAATGACAAAGCAGAAAGTGTGCTAAAATTTGCCTTCAAACAGAAAGCCCCCAACGACACACCACACACAAACCAAAACCAAGAAAAAATAAACCTTAAATACACCATTATTGCTAGGTATCCCAGATCTCATTTTTGTAGCCTACAATGGACAGCTTAGTTCCCCAGGGCTTAATTATCCTAGGCTGAATGCCCCCCCTCCAGCATGGCTGGTGGGCACATCCAACGTACATTTCTGTGTTTATTTGCATTTCAGTGTTGCTAGAAGGTAGAATAATCCAGGGCAGACTGACACAAGGCAAGCACTGAAGGACATCAGGGAGGAACATGTACAGAACAAAGTCATTCAAGTGCATCTGTCTGATCCTGGTCATGACACAGGTCACCAGGCTGGGGTAATTTGATCACATTGGCACCTATGTTCTGCTGCTTTTTCAGTGCAGCGAACACAAATCTGTCATGCTACGGATGGAGACACGGGCAGCACATAAGCAGTTTGGGGCATTCTTCCCCCTCAGCAAGGATTTTTCCGGGTTTTGAAAATCTCCTTTTCTGTTTTTGTTTATAATCAAGTGAACCTCCTCATGGGGATTCCCTA